GTATTTTCTAAACAAAAGTTATGGCCAACTTTCCAGTAACTTCATACATTTTCTTGCCAGAGCCAATTTTAACATTAAATTGGCTCTTGTTGAGTGTTAATTTTGGACTGGAAAGCACTATTCCTCAGTCATCTATCTGAGCTGCTCTCATGAAAGATAGATGGCTGTTATGTAAATGTAAGGGGCTTTTGGCATTGTCAGTTGGGGGATTGTTTGATTTAGCTCAGTATTGCATATTGTCTCTGGTGCGTTGTAGTGGGCGGCCGTAAGATTGTTCTTATCTGCGGCCAACAGGGTGGAAACCACTTTAATAATGACATCAGCATGACTACCTGAATAATGTAGGGAGTGTGTGGAGCTCACATGGATGTTGGCTACGCTCAAGCTACATCTGTGTGTAGGTGTAAAGCTACAATCCTCTTACCTTTTTATAGGAAATATTAATTGGATTTTGTCCTGTCGATATCAGCACAGCTGCATCCCAAGAAACAACAGTGGCTTAGATGTTTTAATGAAATAAATCTCTGCAGGCCTGTTTTTTTTTTCAGCACTTGTTCTTTTGTCTTAATGTAACCTTGACTTTGGTTTACACTAGTAATCAGATATTGAGGTTGCATGAGAAAGCGTACACATGTAGGCGCTCACAATAGAGCCCTTATGTTGGTCTGGCCTGCTGAGAAATGTCATTCCCAGGCTATTTTGCAATTTCTGCCTTGTACATTATGGGACTTTTGCTCTGTCACTGCACAATGATGACCTCAGAGATGGCTGTGTGAATTATAATGCAGAAAAAGCAATTTAGTATGTATACAGTTTACATAAATCGGCTAAAATGCATATATATATATGGAGAGAGAGAGAGAGAGAGAAGCTAATACTAAATATAAATTACATATATTATCCTTGTCCTTTATTCTTGTCTGCGACAAATCAGGACAGATTAGTGTTTACTCTACAAATGCAGTGTGTGTGTGTGTGTGTGTGTGTGTTCGTTCACCTGCATTTGGTGTCATCCGCTTGTGATCTGATGAGACAGTTTCTCTCTGTTTATTGCAGGAAGAGTCAAGAGAGACAGATTTTTAGCATTCAGGGGAAGAGAGGAGGCAGGCGGGTCAGTACTGACGAGAGAGGAGATCCTGCTACAGTCTGGAGGGCTTATCCTGGGCTGACTGGCAAACTCGGGTGAGGACCCCCGTATAGCTTCTCCCCTGTGTGTGTGTGTGTGTGTGTTGTGTTTTTCCCCTTGTTTGGCTCTCAGGCCTTGGGACCTCCCACCCACAGACAAAGCTGTTGTCACAGCAATGCGTTAGGCAGTCGTGCGGCACAGTAATCTCAGAGCAGTCTTAAGGGAGGAGGGGAACTGATGGAGGGCATGGCAGAAGTGAGGGGAGCAGTGCATTAGTGAGGAGTGAAGCTAGACTAAATGAGGGATAGTTTTAAAGATAAGAGAGGTTCTGTATCAGACAGAAGGCTCCGCTGAGGTCAGACGGAGAGGCAGAGCAAATCAAGAGTTTCCAGGAAACTACAGTGATTTTCATCTCAGCCATCACTTGTGCTGCAACAACTTCTGTAATAAGCACAGCTTTACTTCCTGACTCCAACAATATGGGAGCTTAGATGATGCATTTGGGCAGGCTGGACTTTGAAAGATTATTAAATTGCCTTTAACACTCCCAAAATTAGCTTACAGCTTTTTTTGTTTTGTTTTGAGGTGTATTTAAAGGGGTCATAGGATGCTACATGCACTTTTACAAGTCGTTTGAACTGAAATGTGTGTTGGCAGTGTGTGTACACAACCACCCTATAATGGGGCGGGGTCAGCAGAGCTCATTAACATTTAAAGGAAAATGCTACAAAAACGGCTTGATCTGAAAAGAGCTGTTTTTGACAGGGTAAAAAATGTGTTTTTTGAACTACCATTGAGAAATTTTAACCAAACTATGTTACAGACTTTTCATTAAGACCCTAAAGAATCATCAACTTGTGGAAAATCGGCATCCTATGACCCCTTTAAAAATAATTAAAAAAATAGGCTCTGAAACCATGTGATGGCATTGTGTAAGGAACAGTTTTATTTTATTTTTATTTAAAATATATATTTTATTTAGATTTTTTTACTAAAAAAATATTTTAAATATGTATTCAGTACATTTTTTTTTAAATATATTTTTATTAAAAATGTGTATACAATTTATTTCTGAAAAATCATTTTATGCACATCTTGCATAATGGAAAATCATGGAATTTCATTAGTCAAAATCATTATTCATTGACCGCACATGCAGTGGTATCCATATGGGTCACTTCAGTTCTGAGATTTTCATACCCCTATAGACCTGTAACTGTCAAGAGGTCAGATTCATTTTGTTATATTTATGATCACAGCTTGGGCAGGTTCTCATATTTTGTGCCCACATTAGAAGTAGTTAGAGAAGTGAAGGATGAGGAAAGTGGAATGGAGGAGGGGTAGATGGAGGGACAAGGGTTATCCATTATCCTCATTGTGTGGTCACATGTCTTTTCTTTATCCTGTGGGATGGGTTTTCCTGGAAGGAGACGCCCATTTGACATGGTATCACTGTCTAATGCATTATTCAGTGGTAGACCGTTGGCATCTCTAGTCAACAGCAAACACTTCAATCTTAAATCCTTTTTCTCATTACAAGAACTTCCTCCAGCGTCTCCCTAAAACGCACGCCTCATCACTTGACTCACTGAGTGACAGAGCTGTGACTCAGGGCTGTTTGTTACCGAAAACTGTCTGAGAAGCTTTAAGGAAAGGCTTGTGGGGTCAAGGGTCAGGGCTGCTAACATCTGCAAGGTCTTGTTGGGGGGTGAGAAAGCGAGTTGGGTTTTCTGAAAGTGTCAGCTGTCAGAAATGGGGATGATAAAGGGGCAGATAACAGTGATCTGGCCTGTCTCAGACAGCTGACACAGCTCACGCTCACAGCCACAAGGCCACTGCAGTGGAGAAGAGCACTGTGTGGCTGTTTGTTTGTCTCTCTGAGCCTTTGGCGTGAGGATGGCTTGTTTGTTTTATCTTCATATTGGGCCATTTTTGACACTGCTCTTTAAGTAACTGTACACTCATACAGGAATGAATGCCATAAATAGCACTGTAATTAATCAGCAGTGCAGCCTGAGGGTAAAGTGGTAAAACCAAGCGATTAGTCAACAGAAGAGACAGACGGCTGCACGTGATTGTTTTGCGTAGTACTTGTTTATAGATCTGCTGTTTGAATTATTACTTTCTGCTAGGAACAAGACAACTTCCTATTGTTTTAATAGATGATGTCAGGTATTCCGATCATCATGACAACTACAGCTGTTTTACTTCTGGGACTTGGATCTTGTCTCAAACTCATTCCTCCACTCTCTCTCCCACTCTTTCCCTCAATGGTCAAATCTGCACTGTCCTATAAGAAAGATAAAGAAACTTTGTCAAAACAACTGGATATGTGATGGATGGATGGATGGATACATAGCCTAGATAGACAGCTTCGCCAATGAACTAGACTGCAAAATATATTACGACAAAAGCAAAAAACTATTTTTACATGTTCTGAAAGAAATGAATGGTGCTTACCTAGGAAAAACCTGTTGCCACGATGCAAATGTGTTGTGGGTATATAAGCAGGGCATTCTTATGTGGTTTCTAAGGTGTTCTAAGTGATTTATAGCATGATGTTATGAGTTTTTTAAAGGGGTGGTTCACTGTTTTTTTTTCTAGGCTTGATTGTGTTTATGGGGTGCAGTTCGGCGGCATGTGCTCCGGTTGTATTTAGGGATATGCCGGTATCATATTTTCAATTTGCGATTAATTGCTAATGCTTTTATCACGGTATACGGTATTATCACGGTGTTGAAATTTAGTTTAAAAAAAAGTGCTGTCATAATACAGTATAACAGGTTTAATAACTTTTTTC